CGGGATCGCGGTAATACATCGTAGTCATCCGACATCGCGATCTTGGCAAAATCATCTCCCGCGGCCATGGAAACGTCATCGTTGTCTCGCGCGATCGCGGCAATATTGGTAAATTTTCGGCATTATCGGTACTAAGGGTACCGGTACCGTCTTTTCACCATCGGTTCTCGGTTCCGGTTCTTTTGCCAAGAACCGGCGGAACCGAGATTTGCCGTAAAGTACCGACCCATCACTAGTTAAAATAGGGTCTTCTCATGCATGGATGGAGGCACATTTAGGACACATAACACGAAACTCATACAACACATTTAAGTACCTATTTACAATAAAAAAACTTTGCCAAGTAGTCCGAACACGAGTTGCGTAACCGGTAGATGATGAGTCATGACTGACCCGTGTCGAGATTAGAAGACGCTTGGTAAAATAAACAGCATGGGTGTTTATAAAATTAAATGCGACGATTGTCCGAGTTTTTATATCGGACAAACTGCCCGTTCTTTCACTAAAAGATTCAAAGAACATCTACCAAGGAAAAACTCCAAATCTGCTTTAGCTAATCACCTCATTAAACCATAACTACTCCAACGTACACAATAATTCAGAAATCTAATAATAATAATAATAATAATAATAATAATAATATCACTTTATTGTCATAAAACATTTCACATTTCCAGCAAAGCTGGTGAAACAGATGACATTGTCATTTCTTAGCTAACAAAAATGAAAAACTAAATCTAAGAATTAAAATTAAAATTAAACTAGTCACTTTTTAAAAAACAATCATTTAAATACTCTTCTATTGTATAGTATTTCTTTTTTATAAGGAATAATTTGAATTCTTTCTTAAACTTTATAATACTATTGATGTTTTTAAAATGAGCAGGTAAACCGTTGTAAAGTCTCAGACTCATATAGTACGGTGATCTTTCGTAAACACATAGCCGATGTCTTGGATACTGCAAATTATTTTTTGAACGTGTTGGGTAGTGATGAATAAATTGATTTTTTATAAATAATTGTGGATTACTCTTAAAGTATACCAGAATTTTATAAATGTAAAGTGAAGGCATTGTTAAAATTCCATACGTTTCAAAAAGCGGTTTACATGACTTTTTTTGTGTGTAAATGATAAGATTCTTAAAAACTTCTTTTGTACCTTAAAAATTGTTGAGGCATATGATGTTGAGCCCCATAACTCAATACCATATTGCATAATGGAAAAAAATATCGCATAATAAACTATCAGCTTTGTTTTAGAATCAATTATGTTTCTTAAAACATACATCTGGAAACAAGCTGTATGTAATCTTTTAGCTAGTATTTCAATGTGAAGTTTCCATGTCAAATTTTTATCAATATTTATGCCTAAAAATTTAGTTTGTTCAACAAAAGCTAAAATATCATTTTTGTACGGTAATTCAAAAATTATGTTTTGCTTATTTTGTAGTGTTTGGAATTGCATAATATGTGTTTTAGCATTATTAAGTTTTAAACCATTTGCCGCAAACCAGTTAGTTAAGTCTACAATTGATTGATCAAGTTCTAATCTAAGAGTATGTACATCTTTTGCTTTTACTATGGCTGTAGTGTCATCAGCATATAATATTAGGTTTGATGATACATTGTTAGGTACATCGTTAATGAATATTAAAAATAACAAGGGACCTAAAATTGATCCTTGGGGTATACCACAATTGATGGTTTGCCATTTTGAAATGAAATTTCTACCATTTTTCTTAATGACAGTTCTTTGTTGCCTGTTTCTTAAATAAGATTGTATCCAAGACAGCGCCAGATCAGAGAAGTTATAATATTTAAGTTTATTGCTTAATACATTATGGTTCACACAATCGAACGCCTTGGAAAGATCGCAGAACACTGCTGCAGTACTCTGAGATCCATCCAAGCCCTCCGACACTCGATTTATGAAATCAGAGACAGCTGATATTGTGTTTTTTTCCAATCTAAAGCCAAATTGATTATCTGTAAACAGATCATTGTTTTCAAAAAAAGAGTACATTTGTTCATATGCTATTTTTTCAAAAATTTTAGATAGAGATGGTAAAATTGACACCGGACGATAGTTTTCTGGGTTTTCTACTGAACCTTTTTTGAAAAGTGGTTTCAGTTCAGCATTTTTTAATTGGTATGGAAAAATTCCTTCATCAAAACATTGATTTAAAATCAGACACAGTGGCTCCGCTATAAAGTTCATAATATTTTTTATTATTTCAACTGAAATCCCATCCCATCCTACAGATTTTTTATTTTTTAATTTTTTTATCGTAGTTTTAATTTCTGATACAGATACATGTCTGAATTTGAAATTATTTCTTTGATTAATCATAAAATTATTTACTAACTTGGATGCAGTATCCAAACAAGGTATGCAGTTAATATCCTTAGAGGTGTTTGCAAACTTTACATTGAGAAAGTTGGAAATAGCCTGACCATGAGTTATCAGCTTATCTCTGACACACAAATCAGGAAAGTCCATATCTTTAGATCTCAAGACACCAAGTTCAGACTTGACAACAGTCCACACTGCTTGGCTCCTGTTTTCAGCTGTGGTTATTACCTTACAGTTCAACATTTTACGGGCTCTATCACAAACAGCTTTAAATATTTTTCTGTAATTTCTGTAATAGTTTTGAAAATTCACATCCTTGTTAGTTTTAGAAATTACACATAATTCTCTTTTACGTTTACTTGATACAATGATACCTTTAGTCACCCAGCCTTTACTTGTATTCTTATGCAATCTACTAGAAAAAAATTTTGGTGGAAAGCAGTGATCAAAATGAACCAACAATTGATTGAAGAAACAATTGAAATTTGTCTGTGCATCCTGAGATGGCTTTATGTTCCAGTGAGTTTCAGAAATGCATTTGTAGAACATTAACTTATTTTTATTTGAAAATAATCTCTTCTTACTTATTCTTTTATGCAGTTTGGCATTACTATTTGAAATATCTATAAAAAGAGCCCTATGGTCTGAGACACCTAATTCGATATTCATTTTGGATCTCTTAATTTGGGAATTCAATTCTAAAAAATCACTAGTTAAAATGTTATCAATACACGTGACTGACTTTTGAGTAATCCTAGTCGGAGAACAAAAGTTTGCATTAAAACCATACATACTAATTAAATCTAAGAACAAATTTCTATGGTTGGGTAAGTTACAGGTTCTTAAAATATCAACATTGAAATCCGCTGCAATGTAGATCTGGTGAGTTTTAAAGTAAGTTTGCAACTTGGTTAAAAGTAACTCTAGTTTCTCCATGAAAGTTTTAAAATTATTTTCATAAGGTGTTCTGTTGATTGAAATTACAATAGCATTCAAAGAGGGTGATTCAATGCAGCAAACTTCAAAAACATGTTCCTCATTATAAATATAAAAATCTGTCCTTTCTTTAAAAACATAACCACGTTTCAGAAGAATACACGAGCCCCCCCTTGCAGTTAAGCCCCTACAAAAGTAGGCCCCAACAATGTAATTATTAAGACTTGATAAAAGATTAATTTGATTTTCTGCTAGACAATGTTCATTAAAACAAATTATGTCCACATTTGAATCTTGCAACAATATCTCAAGTTCATGGCATTTTTTAGTAAACCCTCCTTGTATGTTTAAATGCATCATCCAAACTACATTATTTTTATTGCTTACTTCACAAAAACCTGTACATCTTTCCCACTGTTCACTTTTCTTATATACATCATAATATGAACACTTACAAATAAAACAATAATTATCATCCTTTAAGAGGCTTAAGCTTGAATTAACATTAGGTTGAACAGTTTTGTTTTGTGAAAAAGATGAATCATGTGTTAAATCTATAGAATCTATTTCATTAAAACTAATTATATTTCTATTATTTATTATATCACATCTAAGAGGTGCATTCTGACCCATAACATTGTTTATGAACTCAGGGCAGTCAGAATTATTTAATTTGTAAAAAAAATTCATCTTTTTCACATTGGATAGAGTACTAGCATTATTTATAAAAAACTATTATTACTATTTACAATAATTTCACTGGTTTCAATATTTACACTTTCACTGCTCTGCTTTTTAAAAACACTTTCTGGTATCTTGAGCACTTCACTAAAAAGAAGATGACCTGGAACCGTTGGTGGGCTGCTGATGCTGATGGTAGGGTTGTCGTGTGTCATCGGCTGTGGTTGAGGTGAACTCTCGACGTTAGGTGGTTGGTTAGGCATTCCACTGCAGGGTGATGAGCCTGACATCATCGAAACATCAACATCAGGTGGAGCATGTCTGTGCAATCTAGGCAAACAAATGGATACTATAGAAGAATTTGAGATCTACAGAGTATCAAAACAACAACCTGACCATATATTAAATGAACAGCTGTCCTTTAAATCAAATCAAACATAATGACATTAACAAACCAAGTGACACAGCAGTGCCACAATATAACAGATGTTTAGGTTGGTACTGACTTAATTTCCCTAAATAGGAATCATATCCCTCAATAATTAGGGACCATTGTAAAAATGTCACATTTCCCCTGTAAAAATTACCCGTCTTTCTGTTAAATTACCCTTTCATCACAATGTTTAAGCAAGTTTTTCCTCCACTCAAAACCCACTAATTCCCACCGGTCCCCTAGTGAGTTGGGGTTATTGTTATTGCTGATATAATCCGATTGTAGTAATAAAAGGAAGCCTCGCCGACAAAAAACTTATTTAAGAAAGTTGTAGTTTTGATTTCAAAGAACAGATTTGAAACTTTTTTAGGTTAATTGGGGGTCGGAAACAATAACCATTTTGGTTATAGCCTACATAAAATCTATTTTTGAATCTGAAAATGTTTTTATTTCAGCTTTCATTATTGTCTTAGGAAACCTTACGGCTTACGGTATTTAACTACTTATAGTTCAATTCAATTCAATTCAAAACTACTTTATTCATTTCCTGTACATAATACATTGAATACATTGAATTGAGTTGTTGTTTCATTTCAGAATGTTATACAAGTGTTGGATGCTAAAACTATACTTTTCAAAATGCCTCAAGAATTTATGCAAGCACGTAACAAGCTGAATATGCCAGATCATTACAAGTAAGTAAATTATTACCAGTCAATCCATGAATTGCATTGTTATTTTGGAACATGGAATCTCATAATAACTTATAAGGTCTTTGTGTAGGCCATTTAAGTACCTATGGTGTTTTTGCAAACTGTATTGACCACAGATGATTGGATGAGTGATTGGACAGATTTCATTTTTTGGAAAATGGAAAATTAATACCACAGTTGTTGTAATGCGACCTAGGTTTTGGCAATCACTACTTTTTTACTTATAGCCCATAGAAAGCCAGAAGACAAAAAGATTGTGATTCCAGTAAAAACTGTGAATCTTAAGATGTGAATTTACAGTGTTTTTTTTTTCATTTCATCAATATTAGGGCCTACAGACATTTTCAGTGATTTTTATACCTAAAGATTGTGTGCAAATAAAAACACAAAACACATTAATGGCCTTCTAAATAAGGCACCCATAAAACACTTAAGTCATGGGTTTTCATAAAAAACAAAAAAAATTAGGGATGGTCAAGTCTCGAAATTTTGGGAAATTTTTGGGAAATTTTAAATCTCGTTACACGAGACGAGATTTCTTTTTGGCTGCGAAGGCGTTCTCATTTAATTAATTCTTTAAATGTAAATATTACTTTAATTATTTTAATAATATTACTTTAATGACATTTGAGAAGTTTTGTTAAGTGTAAGCAGTGTGAGTAATGTTTTATTACTATAAAAAGTCAAAACAAGTAACTATTTTATAAAAATTAATATTACTTTTATTTTATGATTTATTTTATTTTAGGATAAGTTGAACTCTATCCTAACTGATATCACTATGTTTCCTAATCATAGGCATTTTTAATAAGTTAGGCGTGATTAATAAAAAAATGTTATGCTGATGTTTTTTAATAAAAGATTGTAAATATTCTTGCCTATTATCATTATTTTTGTATTTAGACAGTCATCTAACAATGTAACAAAATCAGGTAAAAATTTTAAACGTGCATTTCCCGTTGTGTATGAGAAGGGAAATCCCGTCTCGATCTCGTCTCGAAATTTTATGAGAAATAAAAAATCTCGTCTCGTCTCGTCTCGAACTAAAAATCCAATCTCGTCCATCCCTAAAAAAATTATAACAATGTGTGGTGATTGGATAGCCTTCTTTGTTTGGTAAAAGGATAAAAAAATTGCAATTCTATCTGAAAATTTATTTGCATCTTTATTTTGAAGTATAATTTTCATTCATTTTTTCATTTTTTTTTATTCAAATCAAATCAATCATAAAAGTGCAGTCTCCCCAGTTTTTCCACCACAGTTCCATATTTCCACAGAAGAAATATGTCGTAAGTATTTTCTTGACTGCACTCTCCAATATTGTAATGTTGAATATTGGTTGTTGAGCCTAATTTTTGTCACCTTCATCTATCATTATCTCATTTTTGCCGGTTGACCAACTAAGCTGTACCTGTATGACATGGTAACCACCACAGCCACCTCTAATACAAGGCCACGGCGAGTGGCAGCGTCGCATCTGTGTCTTGGCGCGCGGTCGTCTTACCATTACAGTGTATGGAGGAGTCGCGTAACAACGTACTTATTCGCGTTTCTATTACCCTTAATCATTATTAATGACATTGAAATTGCTACTGCATCATGTCAGATAGATGTGTTGTGTCTGGGTGCAGGAGTAATTACGAAAGCTCGATTAAAACTGAAGGATACATGCAGTGTTTAAGATTCCAAGTAATCCGTTGCGTAAGCAACAGTGGACTCGTGACATTCATCGGTCTGATTGGCCACCTTCAAACAATTCTCGTGTCTGCATGAAACATTTTCACGAAGATGACCTTAGTTTTGTGGAAAAATACAAGAATAAAGACGGTTATTGGTGCGAATATAGACGCGAAAAGCCAGTTTTAGGTGAAAATGCCGTACCTAGACTTTTTCCCAATTTACCTTCGTATCTTAATATACGAAAAACGACAAAGAGAAAGACTCCTAAATAGGAGCAGGCAAGAAGAAGGCAACAGGATAAAGAATAGTCAACAGGATGAAGAAATTCAACAAGCAAAAGAAAACTAAGTTGGGGACTTAACTTAATTTTAGGGATGGACGGGATTGAATTTTTAGTTCGGGACGGGACGGGATTTTTTCCTGTGCATAAAAAGAAAGTATTGAGTATTTCAGTTACCAAAAAAGACAAAAGAAATAAATTTTTACCGTTTTTGGCACTGATCTATAAAAACAAAAACATTTTTGGTTACAACAATCTACAGGTACCTATAGAAACTTGTGACTCGCGGTCACGGTGCGATCGTCAAAATGACCGTGATCACGGGGTGATCGTCGGTATGACCCGCGGTCACGGCGTTATCGTCGGTATGACTTGCGGTCACGGCGTTATCGTTGGTATGACTCCGCCGTCACGGTGTGATCGTCGGTATGAATCCGCGGTCACGGGGTGATCGTCGGTATGAATCCGCGGTCACGGGGTTATCATCGGTATGACTCCGCGGTCACGGCGTGATCGTCCAAATGACTTCGCCTCCTGCGTTCGCGATTAGCGGCGTTATTGTCACTCGCGAAGCGGCATAATCGCCGACGATCGGATCAAATCCCGTCCCGAAAATCGGGAATATTTTTTTCCAGAAAATTTCCCGAAATTTCGGGACCCGTCCATCCCTACTTAATTTTGCAACAATTAAAGCTGTATATTTAATTAAAAATTAATTGCACATAATCAATAAATTAATAATAATAATAAATTGACGCGTATTATTAGCGTCATTTTGCACATTATAATGAATGTGGAAAGCCATATTAAGGCCTAGCTTCTGAGATCGTTTTCACAATGGCAAACATATTGCTAAATAATTATTAAAAGAAAATAAATGATCAATCAGTAGGCCTTCAAACAAGAAAAGAAAACTGAGAATTTTGTCGTAGCTATCTAGATTTATAGTTTGTTAGGTAGGCTAAACCAATAATATGAATATTTAAAATTGAAAGTAATTTTATTTAAACAATCCAAGATACTTTTTATTTTACTCTTTCATTTGTAATTGGAAGTTTTACGAGACATTTTCACATTCATTGCAATTATTACAAAACGATAAATAAATAGGCCTACAAGCAAACAAACATTGTTTGTATTTTAGTACAAAAACCACTGTTATAATGTCATTTAAATATCTTTCATTCATCTATACATATAGATAGTGAATATAGCAAAAGTCTCATTATTTAAGTTATAGCCTAGCGCGTGTGAAGACGGACCCAGAAGGGGTGTGATTGCGGCGTTGCCAGTTCGAACGTCGCGGGCTAGTATTAGAGGTGGCTGTGTTACCACGCTCAGTCGGTATTGCTCTTAGTATTCGGTTTTTGGCCCAAAAAGTGTTAACACATCATCTGTGTCTACTCTTAACTGTCACTCTATTGTTTGTTTACAGTAGTACTAAAAAAAGTAGGTAGTAATTAAGTGTTATACAGTTTGAGTCCTTTATTTATGCAATGATGTTTTAATGTAATATGAGAATATGTTATTTTTAGTTGTTTTTTTTTTACAAGTTAATCAATCTTAGACAAGTTTAAGCAAACAATAGGTTTTATAAAACTGTTAAAATCTGTAATTTAATCAATTGAGATTTAGAAAAAATGCTCCAAAAAACTTTTAATCGTGTTGAAGATATGGGATACGTGAGTTGTGATCATTGTCATGAACACCACAGCTCCATATTCTTTCCTCACTCACATGCTTAAAAAGGCTATTGTCACCTCTTTTACTAGGTCTATCACCTGATGTGATATTTGTTGCAGGTATTCCTTCTCACATATATACGAGCCGAACACAACCCAAAGTCAGATATACACTGGTTGTGTTGCACCATTAATTAAGAACCTGTTTAATGGGCAACACTGTCTACTTTTTACCTACGGAACTACAAATGCCGGGAAAACTTTTACTGTACTAGGTAAGTTGTTGTGACATGACTTTGGGGTGGATACAAAATAAAATATAATATTGTAGTCTTCATGTCCTTAACCCATTGGCGCCGACTTACAAGCGTTACTCGTACGGCTGCGGCAGGCCCTGCGGCTGACTTATGAGTGCCGCCTGTGTCGCCGCTACGCTACCACTAGTTATTTTATTATTATTTTTTTCCCCCTTTTTTAGTTTCTTTTTACTTTTATGGTGTTTATAAATATCTTGCTTCTTGTTTTAAAAGTAAACAACTTGTGATTTTTCTAGGGAATCAATTGAACTTTAGAATAGTAAGTGTAATTTGGTGTCTGGATTAATCTTGAAATTTGTAAATCAAGTTAACTTTCAAAAATGTTTTTTTAATACTTTTTTTAATCTTTATAATTTAATTTTTGGAATTTTACACTTTGATTATCCAGTTACCAATTTTTTTTGTAAATTATTTTACTGTGAACAAAATTGCAAAACAATTATCAATTTATTACCTAAAGTTTTCTTTATATAACAATTATAGTAAGAGAGTCTACAAATTCGGTAAAATGAATTGCCGACAGAGGGTGCTGCAGGCAGCACATTAATTCCTTCCCCAATGGGTTAATGGTTTTGATACCCCAAAATAGTCAGACATAGCCTTGGGCTTCCTTGGCCCAGGACTTCCTTGGGCTGGCAAACAAGTTTGTAAATTTATCAACTTCTTGATAAAATTGGCTCCTATAGTGTATTAAGCTTACATATTAATTGGAACTGGTGTGCTTGTTGCTCGAATTTGAGTGATTGCAAAGTATTACATAAGCTATTTCAAAACGAATAAGTCATAATTTCCAATGGGTTTAAAAGAGTCAACTCTTAATTGAAATGCTCACAATGTACACAACAGTTTGATATATTCAACATTTCTTCTACAAATTAATTGTTATAATTTTTCTAAAGCTGATCTTGGTTTTAGGGTTTTCTACGGATGTTTCCCACTCATAGCCGTATTATGCTGTCCATGTTTATCTTCATCATGTTTGTAAATTTCAGACATTTTTGTTTAATAGTAGCACAGGGTTGTCAGCGGCCGGGAATTCTGGGAAAATCGGGAATTATGGGTGAATTTTAACAGCCGTGAAAAAACTGGGAAATATGCGTGAAAATCGTATTATTCCGTGAATTTGATTGATATTGTTATTACAGTTTTTTTTTCAAGTAATTTTAATAGTTAAACCGTTTTGCAATACTTTCTTGATTGATTTTATAGTAAACCAAAATTTACGGTTTACTGGCGAGTGGCGATGGTTCGGAAGAAGCAGAAGGTAAGTTGGATGTACACTACCTACCACCATGAATAGGCCTACGCGGGAAGCCAACTCCGCCGGTCGCCGGAAGCAGACTACATTGTGCTGAACTGCAACTGACTTCCATCCAACTTAGTGTTAAGATTTATTTGATTCTGATATTACCTGGTGATACAGTACCTATTTTCAGCGATTATAGCCAAAAAGCCTTAAAAAAGTGTAGTATTAGGCCTACAAGTTATTTTTCCAACCCATTCCAAAAACTACAAATCTTCCTAACATTCCTAAACATTCCTAACGGCAATCCAGCTGGTGCTCAGGAAGCTAAAAAAAAAAAAACAAGGTCAGGAGTTGAGTCATAGTTATATACTGTAGGAATGTGGAGAGGCTAGGCATGTTGGTATGGATTAGGCATTCCCTGGAATGTAAGTCGTGTAAGGGGAGATGGACTGTCTTAACTTCTGGCATGTTTAATGCATATCAATATAAACAAGGGCAGAGTGATGTCATAGATGTACTGTAACTTCTGGTATGTGTTTTTGCATATCAATATAAAAATAATTCTGTAAGACAAAATCTTTACCAGAAAATTGTGGACGTCTGGTAAGTCGCAGATAAGTGGGAGTGGTCTTAAATTGAAGGTCTTGACCCCAGGGACTCGGGAAAAATAGCAGAATTCCCATAAAGTTACCAGAAAACGAGATATAACGTAAAATGTTCTCCATAAGAATAGCATTAGAAGCCATTTAATGCTGATTTTTGTTTACTTCAAAACAGATGATCGTGATTTATCATCAAGCCAGTACGCAATGTTAACATTTGGAGTACCCCACTTATTTGCCAGTCAATTCTGCAAAGTACTATAAAACCAGGGATAACGTTTTCTATAATAATTCAGACTTTTAGTTACGTTATAGAATGTCGAAATAAATTATTTCACTGTAAAACATTTTAAATTTGTGTATTTTTAAGTTTAACATTAAATAACCACTTTGACTAAATAATTAACGATTCAAGATTAATGGAAAACTTCTGCTTTGTTTTTATTTCAAAACATATGTTCTAGAATTATTCTACACTTTCTTTATTTTAAATTTGAGATTTATTGTAGTGTTTAATCAATATTTAGAATGAAGAGGAATAACCTTAACGGCCACTCTTAGAAAATAACCTGGGAATAAAGATGGAATAGGTTCGTACAGAAAATATATATATTTTGTCAATTAAGTAAGTACTCTGACAAGTTCCAATGGGAGGAAAAACAATATTGTTTGGAGATTTTAAACCGGTACTCTCTGTTGCTCGCAAAAAAGTTAAGAATCGGCCGATGATTAGGCGTAATTTGATAGAATATGTAACGACAATCGCACCTTGAAGAGGAACACCACCACACAAACTTACAATAATTGTAGTTTTTTATGTTGATCAGAAAAAAATCTAGGGTTAGGTTTGGTTAATGGGATGCCTTTACTTTACACTAATGTTGTTAAACCTTGACAAATGGAGTATAAACTTAGAAATATTAATTGGGTTGTGGGTAGGGATGCTAATTTAGCGGGTTTGGCCAAGAACTAAGCTTACCTCAACACACCTTTACCACTAGACCAAAGCTACCTTAATAAAACAGTTGTATTTATTCACAAACAAATAAACAATTATATGTCTGCTGTCTTTAGCAGATCTTAAACCTACGTAGTGATTCGAATGATTTATTGAAAGTTACATCAACAAAGGCAAACAAAGACAAACAACAAACTGTTTTTACACAAAAGATATGGCGTACAGGGATATCTATTCTGACTCATAGATAATATATTTCTTAGTTTGTTTAGATATTAAAATAATTTGTTTTATATTATTGAGCTTTTTAGGGACTTATGTCCCTACAAGCCACTAGTATCAATATAAACAAGGGCAGAATGATGTCATAGCTATGTACTGTAACTTCTGGTATGTGTTTATGCATATCAATATAAACAAGGGCAGAATTTTATCATCATAGCTATGTAGGCCTACTGTAGGAATGTCGAGAGGTCAGGACAGCTGGTATTGGCATGGCATTGCAAATAATTTGCAAGAAAACTGATGAAAATATTACGTTTCTTTGTCTGTATCGTATGTAAATACTGTCTCTAGTTTAGGCCTAATGTAACTAATGTTGTTTATCAAAATATATTATTGTCATTTGTTTGTTCATATCTAAGTTTTATTTTTGTTATAACTAAACCGACATAAATTTATTTTGTTTTGCAAACTTACATGTATAAGTTTATTCTGCAAAATGTTTAACTATGTTAATTTTCAACCTCAATTTTCAATGTGTGCTGAGTGAGTTTTAAGAGTTAATGGATTTTAAGAACTATCTAAAATAAACGTATATGTTTAACGTCTGTCTTGTCTTTATTATTTACCAAAATCCGTAATTATAATTAAATTTGTTTTTACATACATCATTCAGACATGGGTAAATTTAAGACAATCAACACAAGTTATTATTTGTCTCGTTAAACTCTGCCTTTTGAGATAGCTGTGCGCAATGTGAGGTTAGGACCTACCTTTACCATTGACTTCGAATAGCATCAAGTTTATACTTTTATCTTATCTTATTGGTTTTTTTTAGGTTATAATAATTTGAAAATAGTTTGTAACATTTTAACGTATTTGTGCACAAACTCTTTTATTAAATTATAGTTAACCCGTGTTTCGGCTTAACCGCGCAGCTGTTGTGTACTACTGTCTACTAGCCGTTCGCAAAATGTTCGGCATTTGTTTATTTCTTGTCAATTGACCTTGACATCGGCACAAACCTCAGCAACTTCTTTTCATAATCCATCATTGATTGGCACGCGTTTCGATCGATGTGCAGCTTGTTTCAAATTGAATGCTCTGTAATACAACTTTATAGTAACCTTTTAAAGCATTATTAAACAATTATTACACACAAGTAAGAAGAGTGGCCTTTATTTGAGTTTGAAACTGATCAAATGACTACTAGTCTACTGTACTAGCTTGATCAATTAATGTTTAAGGGAATAGAGTTTATAACCTCTGATAATTCTGAACAAATTATTAGCCAAATATAGTATTATGAGTGGATGTTATCAAAATGTCACCCATAATGACCCACCGCGCTACCCCTTACCCGCCCGACCATCAGTGCGTCACTAATTAATTATGTGTCACGAAGTGTTCACCGTTTCATCGGTCGGGGCTTACGTAGTCCCTTGGGCAATTTGGCTTGCTTTTTTTAATTTACTGATAAGTGTAACTTGTGTTGTGCCGTTCTTATAAGTATAATAGACGCCGGGAAAACCGGGAAAAATACGTGAATTTTGTTTGTAGATCCTGCTGACAACCCTGTAGCAGTAACATTTTTCACATTACTTAAGAACGTACCTACCTCATTTCTTGCATAACCTGTCCGTCACAGTTTTATTTTCTTTAATTGGCATTCTTTCTGGTTAGTTGCTGTAATAATGTATATTATATTTACCTTAGAAAATGTAAAGTTAAAAGGCCTGATGTTGCTCAGGTGGTTTTTTGTTCCCCTTAACTGAGAATAATTAAATCAAATCAAATCATCTTTATTCCAAGACACAAATTGTATACTGAGAAGTACAATAGTGTATAGGCTTCGTCAACTGCGGTGATGGTGGAAGAGCCAAAAAAAAAATATGTTAAGTCAGTTTGCACATCTACGCGACACGCTTTTTCCACTAAGACGTGAATGGTCAAAATTGGTTAAGAAATGGCAGAGGAGTTCAACTGACAAATTTTGTGTTGGCGTATTAATTATAAAGGTACCATTGATTTTGTTATTGGCCTCGATGTATTTTCTTGGGAAGAAGATTCTGTGCCTGTGTATGCTGGTTGCCCTATCGGTTATTAAGATATATAAGTGTGTGGCAGTGTTGTGTTATTTCTCGTTTATCTTCTTAAACTTTTTGAGAGTTCCTTGGTGTTTAGCATGTTCGATTCACATTTCTATTTAAAGTTTATAATGAGCAATTTGGAAGTTTTCAATTGTAAACAAACTACTAATCTGGAATACCATTATCAGGTAATGGAGATAATCCTGGAATCATCCCTCGCACATTGACGACAGTGTTCAAATCAATATGTGGAAAAGAGTACAAGAATGATCAAATAATGCCTGACAAGTTCAACTCGGCCATAGAAGTTACCGAAAGTACTCTGGCAGCAGAGAGAAAATTCAAAGAAGAAATTTTAACATGGAGCCACCGAACGACTCAAGTAAGTACTTGCCTAGTATAAGGACTTTATTTTTTAAACTTAAAATACTTTAACTAAACCTGAGAGCTATAACATTCTCCAACATCCCTTTAATTTACTCTCCTCTTATACAAATGCTTGTAAGGTCAAACAAGAAAACAATTGTCTGGGGTGCGCAATAATTCAATTTCGGATGAAGTGCTTTAAGGTCTCGACATGCCCCTGTCAGATAAGATAAGATAAGATATACAAATGCTCTACATTTACGATCAAATCAGAAATTATTTTGAAATAGCCTAAACAAGATCTTGAACAACAACCAATACGGTTTTAGAAAGAGAAAATCCACTCTCAATGCATTGGACGATCTAGTCAGGCAAGTTCATCTCTCTTTCGAAAATAAAACTTATGCTCAGGCCACCTTCTGTGTGACCTCAGTAAAGCATTTGACTCTTTTGACAGCAATATTCTCATCTCTAAATTACAGTATCTACTATGGATTTGATGGCCCTCCATTATCTTTTTTAAGAAGCTACTTGCAAAATCGGAAACAAGCAGTTTTTATAAAAGGAAGATGGTCAGATGAAGTGTCAGTCGAGTGAGGAGTGCCACAGGGTTTAGTCCTTGGTCCCCTTCTTTACTTAATCTATATAAATGATCTACCCTCTTTTGTTGATTGTAAAACCATTTTGTTCGCAGATGACTCTACATTTTTATCTACTAGTAAAAACTATAAAGAACTTGAAAAAAATTGGCTGATGAAACATTAAATAATGCACAAAATTGGTTTCATAGTAATGGACTTTTGCTTAGCAAAGAAAAATCTCAAAAATTGATGTTTTCCTTAAATTATAATTTAAGAGAGTTGTTTGAGAACAGTGATAAGGGTAGTACAGTTTTTTCAGCAATGTTTTTGGGAATATATGTAGATAGTCAGCTAACATAGGATTCTCATATAGACTATTTATATACCAGACTTTCTCGTGTACCTGATATTTTTACTAGGCCGTCTGAAAAAATGCATTCCACTAAACTATGTCCGAACAGCATATTTTTCATATTTTCAATCCATTTTCAGGTTTGGGCTAATTTTTTGGGGCAATTGTGCTAGGGTAGAGGAAATTCTTGTTTGGCAAAAGAAAGCGGTTATCTCTAATAAAGGCTCGAGAGACCACAGCAAACCACTTTTTCGTAATCTTCAAATCCCTACTATTATTAACATTTATATTTATGACTTAATAGTTTATATCTTGGAAAATCAACATCTTTTAAAATTTAGAAACCATACTCATGATCATAATACCAGAAATAAGAACCATACCTCAATAGAATTCCATCGTTTAAGTAAAACTCTTAATAGTCACATAGTTTTATCACTTAAAGTGTACAACTTTCTTGAATCCATAATTAAATTGGACGCGTTTGCAGAAAGTCAACCGTCCCGGAAGGTCAAATAATTTATACCTGTGCCGCTAGGTCAAAAACTACAATGTTTGCAGTGTCTGTAGATCAAAAATCCCAGTAAGTCAAATAGTACAGTCCGGGCTAAAAACGTAGTCTATGTTAAAGCAATTGACTTATTGGGAATTTGACCTAATGCAACAGCAGTTTTAATATAACGAAATAAGATAAAATATAAGTTCAGTTTCGCTGAGTCAACAGTGCCGGAAGGTCAAAAGTATAATCTGTTAAAAACAACGATAGTCCTCTCGACGCATGACTTCAATAATTTTGTGTTTTGGCGTACTTAAAGTTGTGCTAAAATTTTGAAATTTGGCACAGAGCTTCTTGGTTAGTCCTACTCGATGACTATTTTGTTGGAACTTTAAACTATTTACCGATCTAATTAATAAAAATTGATTTTTATGGTGAAATAGTTTTAAATCGTGATTTCTAACATGAAAAAGTTAGCATGCGAGATTTTTTTTTGTTTTTGGGTTAGAGAGGTTTTGTCAGTGGCAAAGTTGTAGCCAAAAGTGTGATGCGTAAAATATATTTTTTTGAATTTTTTACAATCAGTGGTTCAGTAGATAACTTGGGTTGAAGAGGACGGCAAATTTAGCATTTCGCAACGCATGGAAAGAACTACATCGTACGATGCGACTGCTGAGTGGACTTTTAATTTATAGTTCTAAGGACAAGAAAAAGATGAATATACAGATCACCAGTACATTCATATTATTTATAAAACATATTTCTTTATTACCAGCTTACATTTTTCACTTATAAGAATACATCATAAACAGGGTGTTAAAATAAGCGGGGAAATACTTTACCTAGTAATTCCTTGGGTCAAAATAAACAGAAAATCAAGGCTAACATTTTTTTCAAAATCATTTCGTTAACCAGATATCCACCATTTTGTATTTTTTACATACAAATATTTATCTTTGCACTTTTCCAACCGATGTTTATGAAACTTGGTATGTATGTTAAGGTAGGAGAGACGCATGTTATAAACAAAGATTCATCTCGATTCACCCTAAAATTTCAAAATTTAACACTTAACTACAATATAATATACTTTACTACACCACATTATTTACGTATCACCATAAATCTTTAACAAAATAAAACGTTAACATTTTTAAAATCCAAAGTAAATCAATATAATATTTCTTTTTTGAAAAATATATTTAAAAAAAAGGCGATGGTAAAATAACGACAGGCGAGTTTCGATCTGGGTGTTTCAGGTTTGAATCTAGGGGGATTTAACAAAAATTAAAATTAATGTTTAATCCTCCTAGGTTTGAACTGATTGAGAGGAATACATGAAACCGAAGGGGGGAGGTAGCAACAAGTTCACTAGTATTTACTAGTGTCCAATTACAATTTGATGGATTTAACCAAAACCTTTTCTATTTCACTTATTTTCAGCTGTTAAATTTCAAACGGTACGTTTTAGCGACTTATCATCATCATCGTTTGAGTTTGGGTTTGCGGCAATGTATTTTTATGAATAAAACCTTTAATTTGATACCAAACTTGACCTCTGCTGCTATTAATTGACTGTATGCACTATTAATTAACAGGACAACAAGATCGCTCCACTCATCCCACACTCATCTCCATTCATACTTGGCTTAAAATGCATACATTTGTATGGTCGTCATTTCAAAGCAACATGGCTACATTATCGATCATAGATATAATAACCATTTTATGAATTAGCATTATTCGGTGTAGAGTTTGAGACCATTGTCTTTAAATTTCAACACAAAAAAAGTTTTGTTGATAAATAGTTTAGTTTGTTCGTATTTTTCCGCCTACAGCCCACTCATCACACACTCATCTCCATTCATACTTGGCTTAAAATGCATATATTTGTATGGTCGCCATTTCAAAAACAGGTCAAATAGTATTAAAATTATATAAGAATTTTGTCTTAGTCTTTGTGGTCCACCCCCCTTAAGGGATAAAAAAGTGATAATAGCTTAAGACAGTAGATATTTATGGCTATTATTGATATACCAAGTCTCACTACTTTATCTATATTGTTAAAAAAATATAGCCAATCCAGGACTTTTCAACCATACTTTAACGCCAACACGAAATTTTTCCGTTGAACTCTTCCGCATTTCTTAGGCGATTTTGACCATTCACGTCTCATTTAGAGCGTGTCACGTACATTTGCAAACCAACCTTACGTTTTAAAATCCCTTGGGCTCAGCCCCAGTGGCTCTTAAAGAACCCATGTTATGCCTATGAAGAACATATTGATTTATTTATATAAGGATCAGCTCAATTAATTGCTGTTATGCATTTCAAGGAAATAATGTAGGCTACATTATTAACATGTTACTGATTTTTTTGAAATACTATATTTACTATTTCTATTTGGGTTTGCTGGATAATTTAATCCATTTTACCAAACAATAAAAATTAATTAAGTAATATATTTCATGAGCAAAGGACCTATTGAAGTCCTCATCAACCAAAAGAATGCCTACTAAAGCAAATAAAATTGAGACGAACATGTAATGCACGAAATCAGGTGGTTCTTAAGTATGTGAAAAAATGTATCGCTATTCAAAAACAGACGGAAAACTTGTAAACATATTCGTGACAACGGGTGTAACATGTCTACATTATCATTGACAAACGTGGACAACCTTATTCGAGTGTGAGTAAGTCCGAAACAACTCTAAAAAACAATAAACAATAAATTGCAAGAACCGTTGCTTATATCATTGGGCACGTATCTACTGACGTGTATACTCAATGCTTATATCGAACTGTTATATGTACATCGTGAGTATTTCCATTAGTTGTTCCATTTAGTTGTGTGTCCATTAGTATAATATTTTAGTTGACTCTTTTAAAGTCAGCGGAAATTGTGACTGTTATTACCCTTGAAATAACGTTTGTGTAGTACTTTGCAATCCTACCAATGCTTATAGAATCATACGATTAAAATTTTCTGGTTAGAATATGTCGCATAGAGTGGTGATTACTGTATCTTTTTGGTTTGCTTGTAAAACAGGATCAACAGAGATTTTCCATCGACTTAAACAATACGATACTCCCAAATTGTTCTTTGCAATAACAAAATATCACACAGTTTGATGAATATTTGTGTGTAAACTGTAAACCACATACAGTACACCTGTATTCTATCTATTTTACCTTTTATTTTCCCAAGACTTTATAGAAAATCACGCATTACGTGATCAGTGAAGAAAGGCTGTATCCCACGTGTTTTATAGGTTAAGAAGACAAGGACGGTCCTAGACATATATTTTGGGGGGGGGGGGGGTCACCGGGGGCCTGGGGGTATGGAATACCCCCCAAAAAGGAGGGGGGTCCTGGGGTTTCCCCCGGGAAAAATATATAAATAAATAAATATAGGCTATAAGTTAAAGGGTGATCAACTCAAGGAGGCCACCATTGGGATATCGGAAACGTTAAGAATTAGAGAAAACTTAAAATGGGGGACATTCCTTTATTTTTGTGGTAGTTAAAAATATGATTTTAACACCCTATATTTTATCATGTTTTCGGATAGAATAGGCAATTTAAAA